AAAAAAAATTAAAGTGGGAGAAACAGCCTTTTTAACAAATGGTGTTGGGAGAACTGGATATATCTACATTAAAAAAAAAAAGAGAATTTGGACTCCCTACTTCACCATATACAAAAATTAACTCAAAATGCATCAAAGACCTAAATGCAAGGGATAAAATAATACCATTCTTAGAAAAAAACATAGGCATAAATCTTTATGGCCATGAATTAGACAGATTTTTTTAGATATGACACCTAAAGCACAAATAGTCAAAGAAAAAGATAGATAAATTAAATTTCTTTAAGATGAAAAACTTCTATGCTTCAAAGGGTACATTAAGAAAGTGAAAAGACAACCCACATAATTGGACAAAATATGTGTAAATTATATATCTGGCAAAGACCTAGTGTCCAGAATATATAAAGAACTCTTACAACTTAATAATAAAAAGATAAACCAATTAAAAATGGAGAAAAGGATTTTAAATAGACATTTCTCCAAAGAAGATATGCAAATGGAAAATAAGCACATGAAAAGATGTTCAACCTCATTGGTTATTAGAGAAATTCAAATCAAAACCACAATGAGATGCCACCTCACATCCACTAGGATGGCTATAATTAAAATAACAAGTGTAAGGATGTGGAGAAATTGGAACTTTCATATGTTGCTGGTGGGAATGTAAACTGATGCAGCCACTTGGGAAAAAATTTGACAGTTCCTCAAAAAGTTAAACACAGAGTTACCATATGACCCAGCAATTCCACACCTAGATACACACCCAAGAGAACTGAAAACACCATATCCACATGAAAACTTGTAGATGAATGTTCATAGCAGTATTATTCATAATAGCCAGAAGTAGAGACAACCGAAAATATCCATCAACTCATGAATGGATAAACAAGATGTTGTATATTCATTTAATGAACTATTATCCATCGTAAAAAGGAATGAAGTATTCGTACATGTTACAATAGCGATGAAACTTAAAAATACTATGCTATGTTAAAGAAGTCAGACAGAAAAAGCCACATGTTATATGATTTCATTTATGTGAAATGTCCAGGATAGGCAAATCCATACAGAGAAAAAGTAGATTAACAGGTGCCAGGAGCTGGGAATAATAGGGAATGGGGAGTGATTGCTCATGTGTATGGTTTTTCATTTTGGGGTAATGAAACTGTTCTGGAATTATCCAGTGGTAATGACTGCAAGGTTTTGTGAATATACTAAAAACCACTGAATCATACACTTTAAAAAAGTAAATTTTATGGTATGTGAATTAAATCTCAATTTAAAAAAAGATTTAGTATGTCATCAGATATAAAAACACACACATTTACTACATATTATGGTTCTTCCTTTTCCTCTTGCCCCATTCCCAAATCTTAAAGAAAAACTGACACTCAGGGTCACCAGGTCTACCCTGTGGCTTCTTGTGTTACCTGGCCCACCTCCACGTACTCCCAGTTAATAAACATGGGCCGAGGGAGCCAGAAGGGGATCAAGGAGCCAGAGCCTCAGGGCCCATTCGGTGTCATCCAAGGAAGAAACATTTTCTAGTCCATTTTACCACGGGAAAGGAAAGAGGTTTCAGACTGGACCACACAGTTGGTTGGAAAAGCCCTTAAAATTCTTCATCTCTTTTTGTTCTCATTCCACATTCATCAAACAACTTTCCTAAAGTTTCTAACACCAAGAAGGGAGTGCAGCCCCCATCCCCAAGCAAAGAGGAATAAACTCCATTGAAAATCATTATCTGTCTATCTGTCTGTCTATCCATCTATCACCTCTGTGTTCTTTATTTGGCTTCCAGTGACTTGATGAACTTGAATCATTCTCTCTGAGTCTGGGACATTGGAAAAATCAAGGGCCAAACTCTGTATTAGAGTGAATTGACTTCAATCAAGAATGACAAGTAGATACTAATCCATGATCTAACTTCAATGCATTAACAGTTGGGAAAGATTCTTGATGGGCAAGATCATGAACACACACCTGACTGTAGTTTGTTAGACTATCATGTTTGATTAGTAATGTCTGCCTTGGACAGAGGCAGTAAAGCAACGATGTATGTACTGCATGTTTGCTACTCTGCCTTAGATAACGCTCCCTCTGGGACCTCTAGCCAGAAAACTTCCTGGCCATATCCCCCAAACCTTGTAGTACTGCATTAAACTTGATACAGAGTTGTACTGTGTGTCTACATTTTATAAAGAGAGATTTTCACCTTCAGTAATTTACAACTGAATTTAAGTCAAATCAAACTTAGCACTCCATTATTAGGATCACAATCTTTCTCTCCATTTTCCATCAGTGGAAAAGGAAATGCTTGTTAGAAAATGCTTCTTTAGGTACCTGTTTTCTAGAATAAGTCAAGCACTCTATGCACCGGAATATTTAGAAACAATTCTCCATATTAAAATTATTTTTGTAATAAAACCCCATCCCCTTATTTATTTCACCTCGCAAAGCAGGGTGACTAACGTCTCATACTTGCGATGATTTCCATTTTCTTTTACCACAGAGGATTTGTGCTGGCTGCAGTCGGGGGAGTTGGGGCAGGTGGAATGGATGGTTTGAATGGTTTTAAATCAGAGATGGAAGATCCCAAGGGGGGCTTCATCATTATGCGAAGGCTTCCGGTAGCCAAAATGTATGTATTTAGTGCCTTCTTCCCTCCAATCACAACTAGGTAGACCTTAGTAGAGCAGTTCTGGACTTATTTCAGGTTTCTGAATACTGGGTACAGTATTAATTGGGATTCAGGTTAATAAATCAATAATCTAACATGACTCGCTCTATCTAGGCAGGTTCATTCCAATGAAATACAGAGGGAAGAGATGGGCGGAGTCAGTGTTCAGTCAGGTCATCCAGACCGACAACACTTCGCACAGCACACTGGCCTCATCCCCTTTGCAAAGGCCTCCAAACTGCACAGCAAATCAAAAATCAAGATACTGAAGAAATTATTTCCATGCCCTCTCACCCATTATTCCCACAGCTAAGGACACTAAAAAGATTTCATGTAAATTTTACTCAAATGGAGGCATTCGGATATACCCAACACTAACTCTTTTGTGACTTAGTGTTCTGTTAAAAGCCTTGGTCTTTTCGTCTTTTCTTTCATTTAACTTTTAGTACCATGATCATTTGAACATAGTTTAATAAAACAGAGATATTTTCCTAACAAGAGAGGCTAGATAAAAATTAAAAAATAAATACATACGCCCAAAATGTTAGTTGGGAATTCATTAATACTTTGTTGAAATTCTGGGGTATTTTTTGCATTGAGAATGTATTGCTTATACAATCAGAACAGTAAATATAGCTATGTCTTAAAAATCAATAAAAAGTCATCATCAAAAGGTCAGAATGAATCTTACAAAGCCAAGTACTTTCTTCAGCCGATCAGAGAGAAGTATACAATTCAGTGGTTTTTTATCAGAACCGATTAGTTCAAAAATTCCTGGAATATGGCCAGTCCTCTCACTTTGATATTTCAGTATGAGTTGATTACCTACCTCATAGGAAGCAGAAGACAGAGTTACGGAGAAACAGGGTTACGGAAGGAGGAAAATGGTGAGAGCCTTGCACCTGGGTGAGATCTTACATTATTTTATCTCCAGCTTTTCTAATAAGAGATGAGAATGATGTGCTGAAAGAAGCTAGTAATTTTTAGTACCAATATAGGAAAAATAATTTTTATCACCACTGCCCTCAAACTTGAATGACAGCCAGCTTGAATTCTCCTCCTCCTCCTGGCCTCCTCTACCTTTAGTGAAAGTGCTAAGAAAAATAAAATGATCAAGGCTGGAGGCAAGGGGGAGAAATGAGAGGTCTGTTTCCAATGCTAGTAGCTGATCATGCCTTGCAAAAGTTAAATAAATGCCCTCCAGGAACTGCAGCCCAACAAGTAATTGTACTTGTGCAGGTATCTCTTTATGAGGAAGCATAGCTCAGAGGATAAAGACCTCATTCCAAGCTACCTACTAACTAATCAGTGTTTCTAATCAAAGATCTCTAGTGAGTAGCAATCCTCTGAACATTCCTTACAGTTACTGATGATACAAAGAAAGAGGACCTTCAGGCCTGGGGTACCAATCCAAAATGGGCGTCAGGCGGCCCCACTGAGAACAGATGTTCAGTCAGCTACCTTGTATTCGCTTTAATCCCCTTAGTATTTCCTTATACACCACGGAGCTTATTGTGTTCTAAGTTCTCAGCGCTAGCGATCTTCTAACGTAAACTAAGAGGTGTGCTAGGCTGGCTTCAGCTGGGGTGTCTAGGCTAGGGGGGACTCCACGCCATGTGATTCTCATTCTTTTCCTGGCGCCAGCAGGTTAGTCTGGGAAAAAGCTCTCTTCACAGCAAAGGCAGAACACAAGAGGGCAAGAGGAGAGACGCAAGGCCTGGGGGGCCCCGTCGGCTCCTCACAGACGGTCACTTCTGCCTCATTTTACTGGTCGAAGCAAGCCACACAGCTAGAACACAGACCAAGGGCTGGGAAGACCTCTCTGCCCTTGATCAGACAGGGCAATGGACCTACAGAGGGGTGAAGAATTGGGGCCACAATCTCTTCTCCCGCAGCTACTAACAAATTATTTAAATGCAGATGTTTCCACGGAAAATTCCAGGGCCTCAGCTTAATATTAAGCATACAAAGAAGGAGGTACTAGTACCTCTTTGAAATACAGAGAAGTTCAGAGAATAACAATTACTATGTATCTCCCACCAGTAATTAACAAATTAATATTTTTACATATTTGCTTCTGATTTTTTTTTATATTTTAGTTTAAGCACTCAGTATACACCTTCACAATTCTATTTCCCTCCCTCCTAAGAGGTAACTATTATCCTAAAGTTAGTCAATGCATATTTTTGTATTTTTATTATATGCAACTATTCATGAAGCCACAGCCCAGAGGAGTCACTCATCACCTAGTCTTATCACTTTCTGTTAATATTTAGTCAGCATTTCCAATAAAATTCGCTTTTTCTTCAGATCAAAAGCTTTTACGTAGGTTCTACCTGGGAACCAAATAGCTACCCCAGGGAATATTAGAACTTGACTTGCTCCCTTATCCTATTTTTCGTGTCTCACACTAAAGTAAAGAAATGAGAGATGCAGAATTCTAAGGCTAAATAGCTGGACAATACAAATTCAAACTTTATTGTTCTTTAAAGTACCTGGAGGCAATTCTAATTATCGGGGGAAGAAACATAAGAGAAACAAAAGCCAAATGCTTTCCACCGGAGTCCTCCTTTTTGCTGTTTTGATTTCAACTGGTAAGTAAAAAATATTTATAGAATCTTGGCTGACTGTTAAAACTCATCTCAAAAGGACAGATTTAGAAGTCACTGATATCACAATCACAACAGAAATTTGTGTATTTGGTTACTAAAAATGGGATAAGCAGGACACACTGCAGGGGACTCCCAGTGATCCCCACTCGGGTGTTCTGGTTCTCTAATAAGGGAAACATAAAAGTGCAGTGGGAGGACTTGAAGGGAGGTCTTTTCATCTTGGTCTAGGACTTAATTGGAACATAATTTGGAAAATAAAAAGTTTGTTCAAGAATTTGATTCGGAAAATTCCTGATACAGACACAGATGTGCATGAGACAAGGGGAATGCTCCCAGAGCAGTCACAGCAGGAATGAATACATTAATTAATTGCTTAACATCTGCCTTAATTCCCAAGGATAAATGTTAGTTGCCAAAGTGATGGCAGTATATCTTGATAAGGGGTGTTGACTTGATACCTGGCTCCAATGTGTAAGATCTTTGAAACCCACCTCTAAAAGTATATTAAAAAATATGCTGAATGGCCATATTTTGTAGCTTCTCTTCACAGCACAGCACAAATAACAATAAATAGTAAAATATCTTTAAGTGAAATAAAAAAATCAAATTTGCTGGTCCTTGCTTTAGCTTGGGTTCTTGTTAGTTTGTTTCAAAGTGAAAAGAAAAATCTGCTAGTTGTATCTCTCTGTGAATGTTAACACTGGAAATCTGGGAAATTTAGTTCAACTGAACATTTACCAAACTCTTACTGTATTGAAGAGCAGTTGCACTTAGAACAAGTTTGCACTTGAAAAACATTTGCACAAAATACACTGAGAGAGCCAGCCCCCTCCTGCATGTTTTACTGCTTTATAATTTTCATAAATTTTCATATAATTATTTCTATTCCCTTCCCCCACCTTGCCTTCTTACTTCAAGCTAGGCCAAATTGGTTTGGTATATTCTTATTTCCAAGAATCTCCCTCTTCCAGGTTTGCAAATAGGAGAGATTTATTTAGTGCTAACAAACTTTGCTAGTTCAGAGCTTGTTTCTTTTTTATTTCAAATATTTTCTTGGATTTGATTATTAGGACTAACAATAAAGGAACATTTCAGAGATACTTTAGAATTTCTAGAATTACCTCTTTGAGTCATGCTGATTATTTTGCAAAACCTCACATAATGGTCCCCATGCTAAGTAAAAAGCAAAGAAAATTCAAAAAGCACAATTTTTGCCATTTATTAGTGGATAATCTGAAATGAACTACATTGATAGAGATTAATGTTAATAAATAAATTTATTTACAAACACTCTGTATGTCATAAAACAAGTTTTGTGGCCAGGGAAAAGGCCAATTTTATATCTGAATCAGGAATTAAAGGAAGACCTTCCCATAAGCTACAGAAAGCTAGGAAAAACTACCCTGAAAACAGAATTTTTGAATCCACTGAGAGACTTGTAAGGCAGATGGAGATTAGAAACATGTGAGGTCAGGAAACCTGCTTCTCATATTTTTCCTTTTCAGCACTGGCTGGACCATGGGCTAATATATGTGCTGGCAAGTCTTCCAATGAGATCAGAATGTGTGACAGCCACGGCTGTGGCCAGTACACTGCTCAAAGGTAAGGGCTTTCACAAAGAACTACAAACTCTTTTGGCTTCTAATCTCTTTGCTTAGTGTCCTTACCCTACATTTCCCTAC